TCCCTTTCAAAATTTTTCAGGAAAGTAAATATCTCAGTTTGTGTTCCTTTCCGATGGGCTTGAGAATTTAGCTCTAGCGAGAGAACATAATGTAGAATAATCAAAATTGGACGTAATTCTGCCAAAAGGAGCTATGGGCATGTGAGCATGTTTCGCATACATTTTTATGGGTCTCAGAGATCATGTCTTCATGCACTTAGTTCCTTTCGGCAGAAATGCGTCCAATTGAAACTGTGGCATTCTGTAGCATTGCTGTCCTCCACCTTGTCTCCACGGAACGTTTCATGGGATTTGTCGCGAGGAAAAATCTCACTTGCAAAGTTGGGTCAAATATTGAGTTAGACAATATTTATCATAGTGCCGAGCGGAGTCCTAGTGGGGTTCTAATAGCTACTCAGAGAGAATGAGAGGAAATTTTGTCGTTATGTTCAACGAGAAGAAGCCAAGAAGTTTCCGGCTATTCGAATTTGGCATAAACTGAAGGCAACGTCTGAAGGCTCATACGACGTTCTTCTTTAGCACGGCAGACAAGGACCGTTTTATTTTCTCTTTGTCTAGCGCGATAATTGAGGGACTTGGAGGACAAGGCGCATAAGTAGGTACAAATTTTGCTATTCTGAGAAACACGTGCTTGAAGTTTCGAAATTGCATGGATCCTTATGATGGAAAGAAAGTTCGAACAGACTTTTTGATGCTTAAAGAATGGAATTTGGGAGCGAGTTTTTCACAGAAGATGCATTAGGACTAGTGTTATTTGAAATCATTAATAAATCAATTTTTCCAGAAACTGCACTTATGCGCCTTGTCCTCCAAGCCCAATTATATATCAATTTCAACGATCAGTCCACAGAGCTAAAATGGAGTCATGCGCTCGCCGCTGGGCAAAAAAAAAAAAGGCTGAAAAAAGGCGTGGAGAGGCATTTCCAGTTGGCGTTTTGACCGTGCGAAGACGGCCTCACAATAAAAGTTGGCGAGGAAGGAAGGAGAAGAAGTGGCGCAGAGAGGAAATGATAATAGAGTGAGAGTTTCAAAGAGGAGGCAGAGGACGCGAACGGGGGGAGGAATAAACGCTACAATAACTCAAACTCCTGCTCGAAATGCTGGAACAATGTTTTTGCATCTACGTGTCTCTGATTATTAAGCGCTGCTTTAGCCGGCGAAACACTCGTGTTTGTCTACGAAGGAGGGGCTTAACATAAATTACATTAAGCCGGGGCTACAAAGACTCAACTTATAACTTTGCATCTTTTAACCTGTAAAATATAAGCAACTTTCGTTTTACTTTATACTTGCGCAGGACGCGCAGCAGTTCGGCCTCGGCGTGTTCACATCGGCGCACAGTGCATTGACTCAATAGGAGAAGTCGGGCAACATTTGGCAATTTTAAACGCTTAAAACTCCGTCTATGCAAAACTTTGAGGTTCTAAAAGTGGTTCCATTGGTTTTCTCGTGAAATTTTCTGATAAAAACACCCCTTGAAATTTAAAATGTGACGTAATAAACATTAAAATTTGTAGTTATAGTTGGACCAAGTTCATTAGAAAGGAACTAACCCATATTTTCGAAAAAAATGAGTTAAGAATGTTTTCGAGTTCCACTAGCCGTATGTTTTCTCCTGTCAAAAACCGAAAGTTGAAAAACAGAAATTAGTTTGTGAAAAGAGGGGTTAAAGTTCATTCTCTACATTAAGCCTTTTGCAGGAATAAAACTTAAAACCTCTTTTTCTCAGTTTCAACTTGATATGGGTTGGTTCCTTTCTTATGAACTCGGTACAGTTGAAAGTTACATGTCCGACCTCTCTAATTGACTCGACCCAGTGTGCGGCGCGGGGGTCCACCGTCTGTTTCTGTTTTGAATTCCTTCCCCCGCAGAACGGAATCCCACGTTTGTTCTTTACGACACTGGCGTAGTGTCATAAGGGTTGGGTCCACCGGCTCCAACTCCATGGTTTTTCGGCGCGAAAGTATACGAAAAGAAAGAGAGTAAAAAGGGGCGAAGAAGATTACGAGCAACTACCCTACTACCGAAGTGCCTACATAGGGGGAGGAATGGGTCACTAAACCTTGAGCGAATTTCGACTTGCAGATACAATTTTTCTACAGTAAAAAACCCGTGAAAAAGGGTGCGTACATAAAAAACGCAAGGGAGTAGCTCTAAAACCGAGTAAAACAATTTTAAAAATGCGGATTTTTTACGCAAATTTAAAACGCTTCGGTTTCGCGCCGAACCCATCCGGCGCCAATCAAAAGCGAGCATGGGCCTCAACGACCAGTGTTTAAATTCACAGGCGCCAACGCGCCAAATGCGCCTAAAAAGTGCGCCGTAGTACTGCTATGCCATCGTTTTTCTACCATTTGGGCACGTTTGACACTCCTTGGAGCTTTTAAACTTTTCTAAAGCGGCTCCCTCCGGCATTTTGGCTCCAGAGATACGAAATAAACCACCACACAATCTACCATTTTAGTGGTGTTCTAAATAGAATCTTCATCAATAGTAAATCAATATTGGTGGTGTTTCTACCAGTGACTGATTATCTTGCTGATGTAATGGTAAATTTACCAACGTAAAGGGTAAAATTATCAGTGAATGGTAAGAATATACCAACAATTGGTAATGCTTGCTAATAATTGCATGTGAGAATGAAAACACACCGACTATAAAAAATAAATAATATAATATGCCAATTTTCATAAGTTTCATTAATAATGCGCAATCATTGCAACTTGAACCTTTAAAAAGTGTCTGTAGGTAGGTACATTTCCCTTGGCACCGAGAAAGTTTTTACTTACACTAATTTCTTCACCTATAGCACAGAGTTTAATGTCTCTCAAACATTTTTATTCTTTCGAGTTTTTGTATTTTCACTCTCGCTGTTTCAATCAAAAGTTCATGCGGGGAACCACTAGTATGCTAATTTTAACCATAGTTCTTTATGAAAAAGTAAGAGAAGAGGACAAGGAAAACGAGGGCAAGAATGAATAAAAAAACGACAAAAGGATCTAGGAACGAGGAAGAGGAGATAAAGAACAAAGTAAGGGACGAAGAGAAAAAATCAGTCTGTTTGCAAGCTCGACTTTTCAACGGGAAATGCATCCCTGACTGGGAGTCAGTGTTGCCAGATTGTGTGAAAACCCGTTAATATTTTACACTGAGTTAATTGGGGAAATGTGGTGAATTTTCAGCCAGATCTGGTGACAATGCTGGGAGTGGCGGTGGTCGCGCGTAACATGCAGAGCGCGAAGTCGGAGGCCGGACTCAAAAGGCTCATAAAGTGGTTATTATCGGTCATTATTCTTTTATTTCACGCTTCACGACTGTCCGCCATCCTCCGAGTCATCCGGGCTAGGTTCAGGCAAACGGGGTCAGTTATGTCCCCGGATGAGCCTCCATCACAGTCCAATTTCACACCGCTAACGTCCCATATCCAATTGAAGATACAACGTCCTTTCCTTTAACGCTCCTCATTTGGATGAAAAAATAAGAAGAAGAAAAAGAAGAAAACACCCCTTTTACCCACGATCGTCTCTTTTTTCTGGTTTGATACGAGGAAACGCCGTGCGAGCTTTCCAGCGTTGCTTTCCTTTTGCTCTAAGGTAACTTTTCTTGAAAATGTTTCCTTTTTTTACTGTAATATCCCGGAGGATTTGTATTTTTTTACTTTTTTATTTTATTATTTTACAGAAATACAATTTATTCATTAAAATGCACACTGGAAAAAAAACACATTGGATCTAGAGTCCAGACTCTTGAAAACATTGACAAGAAAAAATGCTCTTGATTCAAACAGATTTAAGCTTAAATCAAAAGGAAATCCGCCCAAATTAAGAGGCTTGGTTCTTGATTTAAGCAAAAATCCGATTGAATCGAAAGTACTTTTTCTTGTCGATGTTTTTAAGAGTCTGGACTGTAGATCCAATGTGTTTATTTTTCCAGTGCAATTGCAATTTATACAAGAAAGTGTGATTTCTCAATCTACAGCTGTCAATCTAAGTTTTTTGCAGATGGAGGATTTGTATTTGATTCTGATTCGATCCCATCGAGTCAGTTATACTTGATCAATGCCAGTGGAGAGGCGTGAATGATCGATTATCGATATTTCCCCATTTGGAGCTACGGTAAAGAATCGATTATTAAGGTGTTCGCTGCGAACACCCTGTTAATTGATCCTTTCCATAGGTTAAAATGGCAGATCAATCGATACATCGCAAAGCACACCACACCACTGATCAATGCGGATCAGTTATACACAATACATGTAATAATTGGATGGAACCAAGCAACAGTATCATACCTACATGAGGAATTTTGGAGAGACACTCATGTGCCTTATTTTAAGACTCCTAATATACTTCTCGTAGAGATATATATCACAAATGAAGAGTCAAAGATGATGGAAGGAAAGGAAAAGAAAAGGAGGGAAATAAGGCGTGAATGAACGGAAAGAGGGAAAAGGAGGACAAAAGGTTACGTTAGGTTAGGTTAGGTGAGGAAAAGAGAGAAGAAAACTCTGTCTTGGGGGCAGTGGGAATGGGAAAATAATTTTTAACGTAATTAAAAATTGCACAACATTTTTTTTTACAAATTCTCTCAAACATTTGATTGGAGGAGACCGCACTTCTTTGACATGGAGAACTAAAGAATAAGTTTGCAATTAGTTCATGAAAAATTATCCGATGCTCGAGGGCTGTGCTTTGAGAGAATGATAATAAATTGCCACACTGTAGTGGATCTAAATCCTGATTTCTTGATAAACTGACGTTGATAAGCTCGACTGAACCGCCGTGACGTTCTGTGATGTTTCGGCGTTTTCCATTAATGTATCGTATTTTATACCGATTTGTTGAAATTCCCACCGACTTTTGACATTTTCGACTAGTTTCTTAGTACTTCCAAGTTCCAACGAAATAATTGCATTTATCGAACGAACATGCTGCTAATGCCATGAAACGTATGCCAATAAACAATCAGAAAAAAGGAAAAAAACAAAGAACAATACTTACAGTTCATATCTATTTGTACTGAGGCGGACAATTGGCGAGATTGATTGTTATTGGCTGCCACGCAGGTCAAGACCGAATGGAGGTCCGAGCGCCCTAACCTGGGCAAAGTCACTTCGCTCATGACCTCGCCTTTCGAGTTGATCACGTCTGGACTTCCCATTTTAGTTCCTTCTCTATGCCACCAAACCGATGGCTTCGGTTTCCCTGCACATCAAAACAAGAAAGGAAATAAATAAACATCCTGTAAAATGTAGAAAATTACTGGACAGGTAAGAACTCGCTAAGTATTTGATTTCCGAACATCTCGTGGCTTGAATTTGCTTTCTACGTAAACATTTAAAAAGGAAACATAGAGCATGGTGTTTGGAATCATATGACTTATCTAATCATTACCTACACATCATCATAGGTATGACCAACGGAATCGGATACCATCATGCATCAAATTTTCACGCAAAACATGGTAGGTAAACTTTTTGAAAAGTACTAAATTCAACGCACGAGAAAGAAAATAGCGTTTGCCGTTTTTCTTGGTCCTCCCGTGATCCTTTTTGCAAAATGCAATCTCATATGGATCGCATTTAGCAAAAAGGAACCAGGGCAATTAGTATTGTAAAAATGTTGCTTCTTCAAAATCATCTAAAAAATCTCCCGGAGTAGCAAATACTTTTCACTTCCCACCGAAAAATTGTTAATTTTAAAGGAAAATAATTGTTCAAATTTTAATACCGTACACATATTAAGAATTTTTAGAAGAAAATAAGAAGTTGCATGATTTTTGAAAACACTGTAATCGAGCTAGTTCCTTTTTGCTAAATCGTCGCTTGGCTGACATAACATTGACGTAACTACACATCGAGATGAGCCCGAAAAAGCATTGAAATGTATGGAAGACACGGTTCATTGCAGAGTGTAGTTACGCCCTTATCTCAGGTAAACGACGAGATACGATCCATATAAAATGAAATTTAAGTTAAGTAACACCACCGCACACGCTCATCAGACACGAGGCGCGTTGAAACCATCCGAAAAAAGCGAGGCTCTCACGTTTTGAAGAACACACGAGGGGAAGCGGAAGAAATTGTCACACTTCATACTTGAACTTCATTTGATGTTGCATGAAAGGCAATTACGGCGAGGGGATTTCCGCCAGCGAGGGGGCCGAGGCGCCACAGAGAGGGAAACGGGGGGGCTCGCACACCCCTCCCCCTGCGCCTCGATCTCTCCGTCTCACGTGCGGGGAGAACTTGGACCCACTCGCCCGCTAATAAGCTTCCGAGGGGTGGTTCATGTCGGCGGAGGAGGCGGGGGGGCGGAGTCCGCAGCTCTCCACCTTTCATGTTTCCCATCGTTTGAGGTTTAATTTTAATATTTAAATAATTATTCGACTGAGATAACCGGGTAACGATCAAACTCGGCGGAAAAAGAATCCCATCAAGAACACGCTCAGAGAGAGTGCGCCGCCAAGTCGAGGGTGTAATCGCCGCATAATCAGCGGCGCGGCGTCAATTGCGATATATCGATTGTATGCCGTTTAAACCTGTGCAAAAGGATCGATTAACAGGGCGTCCGCAGCGAACACCTAAATATCGATTCTTTACCGTAGGTTTAAATGGCATAACAATCGATACATTGCAATTCACGCCACGCCACTGCTGCTTACCACGCTAGGACCGGGATCGGGGGTCGGGCTGTCTCCACAATTTCGGAGGAAAAATTCCGGAGCTTTTCTGACTTTTTGATGCATTTTTCTCACCGAAAGGCCGTGAGGCTGATTGAACTACATTTTTCAGTAAGCACTGGAAACTAAAGCTCGGAGCCAAGCTTGATGATTCTGTTTGCCGCAAAGAAACATTTGTTCTTGAATGATGCTGCTTAACTTATTTGCTGAGCCCAAGCATTTATTTTCTAGGGGCTTTTATGCTAAAAAAAAAAGTAAGAAACCTTTTAATGACAAATTCAAGAATCGTCGTGCTTTTTCCTAGCACTTTTTTGTGCAAAGCTGCCAGCATTTTAATGTTGCGCAAGACTTGCCTGTATAAACCATGGACCATGGCCCATGGACTTGGTGCGGACCATTTGGTGGAAAGGTACGTTTCTGCGTCAGCGATGAGATCAAAGCTACTTACAACTCGTGTTGGTGCCTTTTTTTAGCCTATGCCTTTCTAAATATTTCATTTTTTTCGGAGTGTAGTTTTACATTCTTATGTGGGAACTTATTCATTTGTTTCCTCAAATCTGTCCTTCTTTCCTTTTCAAACTCATCGGTGCAATTCTTTACCGGCAAAATAAGCGGAATCCTGTTGCGCATTGTTGTTTCCTCCAATGGAATCCTCTTTTTCACGGGTGAAAAATCACTCGCAGTAGCTTCTGCTTCTTGTTTTCATTTGATTTTCGATAGACTCTTCATTCGAATATTTTTGTCTGCACTCTTTGGACCCTTTCATCAATTTCACCCATCCATTCTTCAAACTTATTTGCTCTCCTCTGTTTCTACAGTTTCTTTGAAATCCAATGCTGTATCATCGTTTCCAATCTCACCAAAAATAGTGCGACCGCCGCGCCGGTCGGCGCGAAACGCAGATTAGCGCCTACAAGTGTGCGGGGATACTTCACGCATTGCGCCTAACCGGATGCGGTCGCTGATTGAAGCGAAGACCATATTGGCGCCCACAAGCCTGCAGGAATACTTCTCGCATTGCGCCAAACAGTGCGGTCGCTGGGCCACGTGAAACGCATGTACACGAGATGTAAGGCGTTCATGCAGGTTTTTTAATCACAATGCCTAACTGCGTACATTTGTAACGCTTTTGTGACTTAGGTCTCTGTCCTTTATAAAAGTACAGAGACTGTACTCCTCTGTCCTATCCTAATAAAATGGCATAACGCTCTCCTCGTCCCCCCCCCACCCTGGAGCGTAACGTAATTTATGAACGGCCCATTGGCCGTATTTTCGCTACCTTTTTAAATGCAGTTGAACAAGTATACTGCATTTTCTTTAATTTAAAAAAATAAAAAATAGGAGGAAAACTTTTTTCAAAACAAAAGTTGAGAACATGACTTTTTTAAAAACGAAAGGATAACGTAAGGCTAGATTTAATCTCTTCTCCCCTCCCCCTCCCGCCACAATCCCCCCTCCCTTCTTTTAGTAAGGATCCGCAAGAAAATCTCAATCTCAGCTCTGAGTTGCTCGCGTATTACTTGAGTGGCAGCCCTTTAGCCTCTGGAGCGTGGATTCTTTTGATAAATTATTTGCCACTCACCATCTAATCTGATTGATTTGTTGCGGTGGTGCTATAGCAAGGCTGCCGAATTGCGTGATAAAGTAAGATGTTTTTACGAACGTTCAATTTAAAATCTAATAATTTTATTTATTAATGAAATTTATTCATTTCGAGTTCGATCGTTACAATTTATGGAAATTGGTCGATTTTTGGGTGTCTACTAGTGCTCCCGTTTCCCGGAACTAGTTCCGAATTCCAGAACTTTTGAGTTTTTCTTGAATTTTTCCCGAAACTTTTGAGATTTTCGAGAATTTTTCCCGGAACTTTAGAAATTCCGAGACGTTCCGGATCGTTTGCATTTTCCGGAACTTTCTCGGAACTTTTAAACAAATTTGAAGAGAACCCGGAAATTTTTACGGCCATGGAACGGGAGAAATTGAAACAAGAAAGTTCCGAATTCCGGAACTTTTGACGGTCATGGAATGGGAGCTTTGGTGTCTACTAAAACAGGCTGGCCAAAAATCAGTACTTTTACAGTACTTCTTCAGGACATTCCCAAGAAATTCAGTATCTCCTCCTCAGAAAAATTCGGTCCTTTTTCAGTACCTGCATTTGACGGAATTCGAAAAAGTTCAAAAATTTGATTTCTCCCTCAAATTGTGACAAAAGGGACAAAAAATAAAAAAAAAACATTCGGACCTTCTTGCAGAATTCCGCACTTTTTCAGTAATTCCGGACGGCCCTTAAAAAATCAGTACCATTTCCCGACTTCCCGGATATTCCAGACTTGTAGACACCCTGTTTTACGTACGTAAAAATTAAAATGTAATAATTTTACCTTGCTATTTATATATTTTTCATTCTGAGCTCGCGCGTCAGAATTTACGGAAATTGATCGATTTTTATCGCTCACCCGGGATCGATTACTCATGATGTATTTAAATTGAGGCAAAACAGTGTTGCCAATTCGCTGCTTTTTTTTCTCAGGGTCATGCATGGAAATCATACGCAACAGGGTGCGATGGATGGGCGCACGGAGGGAGCCAAGCGTGGCGGAAAATCGGGATTTCATTTCTGCATCGGACCCCGATCAATCACTGTAACGCCCCAAGTTCGGGCGAGGTGAGGGATTCGATCCCATTAATTAGGCCATCGCACTATTTTATGATCGGTCCGGAGTGACAGTTTGACAGCCGCGGAAAGCCATGAATAAATACGCGCGTCAAAAGTAACTTGGGGCAAATCTATTACGCTTGCCGAGCCGCGGGCGCCTTCCGGCCTTCTTGCCCGCTACGCGGCCCAACCCCCCTCTAGCGCCGCTGTCCTCTCGAATCCCTAGTTTTCGATTCCGCCCCCTCAAAATTTCCGCTGAAATTCTCCGGTTTCCGCTTTGTTTTTCCACCTCTGAGCTCCTGCCTCGCGGCTGAACCTGCCATTAAACTCGTTCCATTATCTTGAAATCTTCACCGACATTCCGAAATTCGGCCGCAACATTTTTACGGAAACGCCCTGCATTCTTTCAAACGTTCACACCGTGACCGAATTTTCACCGTGACCAATTTCGAGGTTTATTTCGCTAAAAATGTTCTCTAAAATTCATCCACGGCTTGAAAAATCCTATCGGGATAATGGAGAATTTGCACGCAAATTTTTTTATTGCATCATCTGAAAGCGCTGAAAGAGCTGATTTCGCAATCTTTTTCATAAGTTTTTTCTAATATGGGAAATAGTATATAAATAGATTTAAAAGTGAGAAAATGCACCGCTTAGTGACGTCATATGGCGGCATTTCCTATATTTTAAACCCATGTATTTAAGCAAATTAGATCATTTTGTCATATCTCCTCCAACAATTGTCTAATTTATGAACCGAGGGTATCCTCGTGTTCAGATCACTTGGTAGCGTTCATTTAAACACGAAATTTATCGAATTTCAGACACCTGCAAATTCTCCATTGTCGTTTTCATCAGCATATCAGC